TCGGTCTTAAAAATTTGAAAATAATTTTCAGTCACCGATAAAAACAAAAACTTTCAGTGTAAACAGGTTTTACAAATTGTCGACTTATTCAATCTCGATTTTCTAAAAAAGAACTTTTAGTTTATTTCTCAACAAAGCTTTGGTTTTAATTATAGGAATTAATATGCTGAATATAAGTTTTATACTTAGCAAAGTATAAAACTTATATCAGCATATTAAATCCTATTGAAATTATGATAAAACAACCTAATCCTACCCTAAAAGCTGTTAGAAAATGCGCTTTTGACTTGAACATGCATAATTTGCATGCAGAAAAAACCTCCCCATTCTACTTGCATGTTCAAGTCAAATGCGCATTTGAATTGAACATGCATAATTTGCATGCAGAAAAAACTCTCCACCCCACCCCCCCATATATTTCACCCCCCCTCCCCGTTTATTTCACCCCCCGTTGTATTCGGAACTCGAGAGTAGCCAAATAGGTAGATTACCAAATACCAGGTATACCGGTATGAAGTGAGCGTCAAGATACAAATGTCTCTATAGGGAACATTTGTTGTGAACGAGCCTTTATTTTTTTTTGTTTGTTTGCTATGACATCTGTGAAACATATTTAGTATACATCAAGATGTTTGCTATGACATCTGTGAAACATATTTAGTATACATCAAAATATTTTTTCATCGTGTTAAAAATGTCGAATTTTGTACCGGAAAGTGATGATTAGCGGAAAGCATTAATTTTTTGTTTTCATTTGAAGAAAAATGCTGCAGAGTCGCATCGAATGCTTGTCGAGGCATATGGTGATCATGCTCTATCAGAAGCAACATGCAAAAGATGGTTTCAACGGTTCAGAAATAATGATTTTGATGTGAGAAATGAAGAACGTGGAAGACCACCAAAAAAGTTTGAAGACGCCGAATTGCAAACGATATTGGATGGAGATGACACTTTGAGTCAAAAGCAAATGGCAGAAATGTTAAATGTTGCACAACAAACAATTTCTGACCGTTTAGAAGCTATGGGAAAGATCCAAAAGTGTGGAAAATGGGTGCCACATGAATTGAATGAAAGACAGATGGAAAACCGAAAAAACACTTGTGAAATTTTGCTTCGAAGACACGAAAGAAAATCGGTTTTGCATCGGATTGTTACTGGCGATGAAAAATGGATTTATTTTAAGAATCCTAAACGGAAAAAATCATGGGTTAATCCGGGACAACCATCAACATCGACTGCAAAACCAGATCGATTCGGCAAGAAGACAATGCTGTGTGTTTGGTGGGACCAGAAAGGTGTGGTGTTCCACGAGCTCCTAAAACCTGGTGAAACCGTCAATACTGATCGCTACCGACAACAAATGATCAATTTGAACCATGCATTGATCGAGAAACGACCAGAATGGGCCAGAAGACACGGCAAGGTAATTTTGCTCCATGACAATGAACCTGCACACAAAGCAAAACCGGTTCAGGATACAATCAAAACACTTGGCTGGGAGCTGCTACCCGACCCGCCGTATTCACCAGACTTGGCTCTTTCCGACTACCATTTGTTTTCATCAATGGGACACGCATTGGCTGAGCAGCACTTTGATTCCTACGAGGAGGTCGAAAATTGGGTGTCTGGTTGGTTTGCTTTAAAAAACGAACAATTTTATTGGCGTGGTATCCACAAATTGCCAGAAAGGTGGTCAAAATGTGTAGAAAACAATGGCCAATACTTTGAATAAAATGTTTTATACTTTCCCATTAATAATTAGTGTTTTATTTTCACAAAAAACGCTCATTTCATACCGGTATACCTGGTAGTCGCCGATTATTTGTGACCTCTAAAAAAAAAAAGTACTACATTTTACCATAGTCATAGTATTTAAATACTATGACTATGATTTTACAGTATATTATCTGGTGTAGTATCCGGTAAATTTTTCACCGGATAATATAAATCGATAGACCCCAAAATCAATGTTTACATTACTTATTAAATCTTGCTAAATCGTATAAAAAAATCATTTTTTGATCAGCCAATGACTTCATTCCAATATTTAAAAAACTAACAGAATATATAATTTTAATAATCTGTCCAGAAATAAAAGATGGAGTGTCATCTCCATTTTTATTTTATTAAAGTGTCATCTCCATTTTTATATGCCGAATTCAATTCGGAATTCTTTATTAGTGAAACAATCACAACAATAAATCTCCTGTCTATCTCTATTCCCTTCCTCCTGAAAAAGCATTTAACAGGTGCAACTGGGACATTCTATTTGAAAAACTCTACGATAATAAAAAATTACTATTGTATATCGTTAATACCATATTGCCATAATATAATATGAAAGCAGTGCCTCTATCTCGTACCTAGGTTGTAAATCATATCCAATTTATCCAACGCAAAGAGTACTCTGCGTTGGATAAAATGATGTATACAGATCATAAAATGACGTATAAAGATGAGATGAGAGAATAGATCCCTGTCTCACTCGAATGAGACAGGGATCTATTCTGTTCCTCTCCCTGAGGGAAGGACTGAATAGATCATATATATACACTCACAACCTACTAAAAACCTTACAAAATGAAAATATTGTAGGCACATCAATAAATAAAAACCGCACGGGAGTGTAGCATATGTTAATGACATACTCTGCCTTTCCATTTCTCTAGCCTTCAAAATCTTATTAAACCTTTAATAAATACACAAAAGGAAATTGCATAAATTGCATAAAAGAAATTGTTTGGTATTGTTAACTCACAGTTGAATAACCAAATAGCTCCACACCCTTCTTTAAGAAAGTGTCAAAATATTATGCAATAGATATGAATTAAATCATGAATTAAATCATGACCTATTGCACAAATTTTTAAAAAACTTTAAAAAAATTAAAGACAAAATAATGGAATGCAAAAAAAAAAAAATTATAAATAAAATTTCAATTAAAAAAAATTTAGCTCCCATAAAAGATTCGCCTACTATTCTACTATTCTAGTTTCAGCACTCAGGTAATGTTTGCAATTGAGTATTGGAACTCAAAGGAGCAAAGAGCAGTCTTCAAGGATATTCTTGAAGACAAAATTTCAAGATGATAATATGATGTTTATCTTTAATGTAATTTTATTTACCTTGTATTTTATAGTGGGTGTTGATTAAATATAACAATAATAATGTTCCAGATCGTTTAAAACTTTGCTAAAATTTTTTTGCATCTCTTAAAGAAAAAATCTTAATAAATTTTATTAACCAAAAATTGTAAATAACATTTTTGATTGCACTTGGGTATAAATAAAGAAAATATATTTTTAAGTTCTGTAAAAATTCAAACAATATGAATACTGTCTTTTTAGTCTACTGTGCAATCAATTCCAAAAAATTATGATTTTCGGTGACTGGATTGTATTTATTTTCACCTTTAAGCTTAAACATCCTTTAAAAGGGTAAAAAGTTTGAAATAATTTTAATGATCAATTTTTTTTGTTAACAGCAACCCATGGTGTGTTACTTCTACACCGTTAGTTATTTGTTCTAAAAGATATTCTGACTTCTGATTTTAAAACAACTAAACAGAGCTTAATATCATGTGTAAAATTGTTTCTACATAACTAGAGACAAAGTATTTATGAGCATCCAATACATTTTTACTATGTATAGCCACAATAGAAAATGTATAAAGCCTTTTGATTAAACACTAACAATGTGGTGTTGAACCTATGGCCATTCAGTTGGGTTATATTTCAAAGTATATGCTGGAGATTTGTAAGAACACTGATCAATTTCAAGGAGTTCAAATTTGTTTTTATACCTTTCTGCATTAAAATTTATCTAAGTATTCATAATTTATTTTTTAAAACTTCTCAATTTTCTATAATATCGTTTATGTATTATAAATATAATACGTATTGTTATGCATTATATTTTTATATTATGTAACTTTTAAGTACAACTTTGACTGCTTTTTTAACTCAACTAATTCGTTTTTTTCCTAGCCATAATTTTGAAAACTGCCCCAGACACAAGGAAAGCTTACCAACTCCGTTGGTAAGCTTTCCTTGTGTCTGGGACAGTTTTCAAAATTATTGACTCTATTTATCAATTGCAGTGTTAATATCTTCCTTGATAGACTTCAATTTTCTTTATTTCTAATAACATAGTTTTATCCTTGATTTCTCATCTCATTGATTTTCCTGTCAATATAATTGTTTCTATTAGCAACTATATGATGATGCAACTATATATTCTGATGCAACTATATATTCTAGTCTTGATAAAAAAGTTTCACTTTTTATATCAATCTTATTAAATCTTTTACTTTATCTCTTCTCGGATTATATTTTGCTTTTGATCTTTAAATGAAGATCTCATCTATTACAAAGTAAATCTTTATTGTGCATTATTTTCTTCCATTTTTTTTACTCTTACATTCTTTACCTTTTTTAGAATTATTTAATCAACTTCATATATATCATTGTCATATTTGGACTGGATTTTCTAATGATGCTCTTTCTCTTTTAG